ATCTAGGTCGGGGTGTGGCTGGGTTGTCGACGGTGTCTCTTTCGAGTTGGGTTTTTAGGGGCCAAGCTGGAAAAGGGGTTAAAAAAAGGGCGTTTTTTGGTCGAAAAAAAAATCGGGTTTGGGGTACCGGGGGGGCCCCCCCCCCCAAAAAATTCCCGGGGTACCACCACCCCCCCCCCCCCCCACCCCGAGTTATTAAGATCCCGTGTCGTCTTCCTCTGTGCTAATTACAAGTCATCTTTACTTTCAGCGATCTATGCTGGGTTTCCCTGGTATTCCAGGATCAAATGGTATACCGGGAGTGCCGGGAGTCCCGGGGCCACACGGACCTCAGGGAAGGGAAGGTGTAAAAGGACAAATTGGTGATAAAGGATCACAAGGAATGCCGGGTCCAAGAGGAGACAGAGGGCGCGAAGGAACCCCTGGGAAGAGTGGACCCCGAGGAATTAAGGGAATGAAAGGTCAACAGGGACTTCAGGGAATGAAAGGAGAGGCAGGCATTGCGGAAATGAAAGGCGAGCAAGGGGCTGTGGGAATGAAAGGAGAGCGAGGCATTGCGGGAATGAAAGGAGTGCGCGGAGCTGTGGGAATGAAAGGGGAGCGAGGCATTGCGGGAATGAAAGGAAGAAAAGGAGACAAAGGAGAGAAAGGAGAAAGCGCCAAAGCAAGTCAAGCGAGTGTAGTACCACAAACCAACTGGAAACAATGTGTGTGGAAGTCAGAAAGCGATAGTGATAACGGAAAGATTAAGGTAATTAGAATAAGAATCATGACACACTCCTAAGAAAATTCATTCCTTTTTGCATTAAAATATTTCAAAGAAGAACGTCTCCCCTCTCACTCACCATTTTCCAACACATTACATAAATAGCTAAGTAACATTTCTCTCTACTTTGGTTCTTTTTGAAGGAAAAAAGAAAGCCATTTTGGGTGATAAAATGATTCCTGGCCATATGGATAAGGATAACGAAAATTGAAGCTATTACAGAGTTTTTCAAAATTAGGAAGTAATCTTGACTGGAGTTGTTAGTATCAATCATTACACACGGTTGCTTGCATTACTCAGGGACCGCGGAGCAAGGCGAAAAGTGGGAGGGCTGACAATTGAAAATAATTTTTTCATATTGAAAATCGAAAAAAGGAATAAAATCATAGTATTTGATTTGTTTCTGTTGCGTGACTTTGCATACTTTA